AAATGTGTAATCAATTTTTAAAATGTTAATATTAATTTTTTTCTCAAATTTTTCATATTTTGTAAAGAATACCAAGAATTGTTCATACAAAAATTTTCAGAGTGGTAAAAAAAAGGAGTAGGAAAAATACTTAAAATATAATTATCACTAGAGTGCTAATAATTTTATATAGCTTAAAATTTTATTTTTGAAAATATAAGTCAATCTATATTTTTTTATATTCATATAGTTTTATTGAGTAAAATCGCATTATGGATAAAAATAAAATTTCCACTAGATAGCGCAAATAATTTAAATAAGTTATATAGCCATATCCGAGGCGCTGGAACATAATCGTGCTTATTTTATTTATATCAAAAAAAATTAATAAGTTTTCCAAAAATTTACTTTTTATCCTAACCTACAGTATTGTGATGATTTAATGAAACATGTTGACGATTAAATTAAAACCCATACAGATAAAAATATTTTGTTTGCAAAAATAATTCAAATAACACATTTGCAATTTATTAAAAAAATTTAAACTTATAAAAAATTAAAATAATCGACCGAGGTTTTTTTTTATAAAATCAATTTTTATCTATAAATTGGAAGACTTTTTGAATGAGTTTAAAAATACACAATTTCTTTTTGGGTAACTTAAGGTCAAATTTAAACTTATTTTTTCATTTTTTGTAATATTAAATTTACCTTTCTTATATCATATTTTCTAAAATGACTTGTGAAATCTTTATTTAATGTATAATTATTTTATATATATATATATAAACAAAATATATATATTTTTTATTTCTATTGCACATATAATATAACGAAAAAATATATCTATATAATAATCTAGGTAATTATCTACTAATTTAGTTGTTCAAAGGAATTTGATATATCGTATCGTATGTGAGTAGAAGCATGTGAAATCATAATTAATGAAATTAAACAAAAGGCTAGTAATTACCTCGATTATATGGATTCTGCTATTTGGTTTTGGATATATTGATCGATATTGATTTTTCAAAATGTCAAAATGGGGTTTAGTTGCTGGGAATAAGGTGGAAGATGTCCTATATTTAGATAATTTTGAGTTATTATATGGGCACGATGAATAGGCGCATAATCCATAATTATGAGTGAATTCATCCATTTTAAATTAAATTGCTGTAAATGCCCCGTTTATAATCGTGTAACCATTAATTTCTATGGTACCCAAAAGCGATACGTTTTTCCCCTTTGAAGGATGGAGTTTGTTGGATGGCCTTTTACCCATAGGCCATTCATAGTGGGAAATGACGTGGGAATTGAAACCTGTTTCATCATAATAGAATATGTTTTAAAATGACACCTTAATCATTTTTAGGCAATATTCTTTCCGAATATAGATAACATCTGGGGAATTCCATCTATCGTGTATACTTTTCTGGCTCCGTTTCATTAATTTGATGCATCTTGATATAGCCGACTCGCTTAACCTTTGATATGGCGGTAAATGTTATATTATGTTTTTAATGGTATAGCCTTTATTATTACCAAAAAATTCATCTATATTTGATTGAAGTTCTGTGTTGTCTTTCATCTTTCGACCTCTATGTTTTGTTATATAATCAGATAAAGGGTCGTCGTAATATTCAGGGAAAGTTTCCTGCTTGAAACGATAAACTGAACCAATGGATAAATTTAGATCTTGGGCAATTGTCTTTGCATTGGGCTGATAATCAATTGGTTTGCTCCAGAGATGCTAACCCGGCAAAATTTTTGCCCGGTTCGGTTCGTGTTTTTATTAACAATCCAATAGGAATCTTTAAGAATAAATTTAAAAAAATTTAAAAATGGAGTAAATGAATTAAGTTGTTTAAAATTTATTAACACTTCACTTAATTGGAAATTTGAAAATATTATAAAATGTCAAGTAAATAATTAATATTCGTATTTACAATTATGCAAATATATTATATTAATTTAAACATTACACTGAACCCGGTTGGGTTCGGTTCGGGATATTGAAAATTTTATAAACGAAGTTCAAATTCGGTTCAGGTTCAAATTTTTTTCCCCAAAACCCGGGTTTTCTTCTCCGGGTTCGGTTCGAACCCCTAGTTTTCTCAGCCATATTTTAGCAAATTCCATTTTTTCATCGCTCCAATTACCATTTTTTTTCCTCAAACGAATAGATCAAAATTTGCTTGCTCTTGAATATTCAAATATTGACATCGGTTTGTACTGTCAGTTAGACATCTAAGGGAATTTGATGGGATAGGTGAATAACTTTGGTATATTCGTTATTTCAGATAACCCCCCGAGAGAATATGAAATTTCATTATGTTTATCTAAAATTATGTATATAATGTTAATTAATAATCGAATATTGTATTAACAAACCTGAAACTGGAGATAGATTCAAAAGACTAGCGATAGTAAAATTTGACATTTAAAAAAAATAGATATATAATTTTTTATTGGAAAGAAAATTATAAATTGAAATTTTTTTTTTAGAAGTATTAAAATTGTCGCAATATTAAAAATTATTAGAAGTTTTAATTTAAGTTAAATTACCAGAAGTTTTTAAAGATAATAATGTTTTTCTCAACATTTTCTTTCAAGTTTTTAAAATTAAATGTGTTATTTTAATTATTTTTGCAAACAAAATATTTTTATCTCGATGGGTTTTAATATGTTTCATTAAAAATCATCATAACACTATAAATTGGGTTCACAGTCCAAAAACAAGAAAAATTTCATAAATTTGTGTTATCATCAGGTAATTTTACTATCCCAACAGAATGACATTTATTTGCTACTGCGTATTGGAAAAGTACTTGCGATGGAATAGGGGGAACTGGTAAACGCTTTGAGCACACCAGTTTACAACCACCTTATGAAAATCAAATAAAACTTTGCAATTTCTTCAAATTCGCTGAGGAAAATTTATAAAAATATTCATTTTTTCTATACATTCCATGATGAATATTAAAAAGAGTCAAAACTTTTGAAGAATCGGTTTTCAAAAGCTCTTTCCATTCCTGGAACTTAGTTTATCCTGTTAGCTTATCACAACTAATTACGAAAAAATATTCCAGTGCTATAAAACCACACGACAAAATATTCAAAATCGAATAGGTGGAATACAACCAATGATATTAAAGGGTATTTAACATGAATTTGATGCTATTAACAAATTTAATTTATTTATTAGTAACTTAATTCTAACCCTACAACACCAAAAGTGGTGCTGTAGTGTACCTTCGCTGTACTAATACCTGATATTCTTATTCTTCAGAAAAATGATTTTCTATGTCATCAACCTTTTGGCCACTACAGGAGCAACTTGTAATTTAACTAGTGAAGAATCCGAAATGACCATATATAATTTAAATTTAAGCAAATCAATATAACTAAGCATCTATACTTTTAGTAATTTTTCTATGAATTAATTTAATAAATATTATCGAATAAATAAAAATTCTGACTGTTATTTTACAAAATTTAAGTTTTTAGCTATTTTAAATTATTTGCGATCTAGCTGAAATATTATTTTTGCGCCAAAATAAATTTTATTCAATACATATTATATTATGGAATAGTTTTGTTAAATAGCTCGTTTTGAGCCGATTTTTAAAAACAGCTAATCAATATTTTATTCAGAAAAATATTATGCAAGCCTGAAGATTTTGTTCATAGAAGGAACAATGGTCTAGACATATATTATCGAAATCTAGAGGCTTAGTTAATAATTTTCTGGCTGAAATATTGAGTTAGTCGTTTTTAAAAATCGGCTCTAAACGAGCCGTTTAACAACGCTATTATGGAATATAAAAAATGTAAATTGACTTATATTTTCAAAAGCTATATAATCTTATTAGCGCCATTTAATGGTAATTTTATTTTAAACATTTTTTCTACTTATTCTTTTTTTTACCACTGAAAATTTTTATATGAACTTTGGTACCCTTTATGAAATATCTGAAATTTGGGAATAAATTTTATACTAAAATTTAAAAAAATTAATTACAAATTTTTAATCACAATTTAAAAAACAATATATATTATAAATCATTAAACAAAAGCCACTTTGAGACCCTATATCTCAGTTCTAGTAGAGTTAATGGGCTAATATTTTGAATTTGAATTTGTCAATTACAACACTTCACTAACTTATATACCAAATTTTAATAAGTTCTGAGAATGTCGGGTTGTAGAATTATTTATTTTATATAGAATGATCCTTATGTATTTATTTTTAGAATATTCAGCAATATTTTTTTCAATACTAACAATCTCTACTTTAAGGCTTATAAAACATAACAAAATTATGTGATTCCTATAGAATCCTTGTCAGAGATCGGCAAACCACCCCCCACCCCCGTTTCGGCCCTTTAAGATTTTTTGCACAAGTTGACCGCCCGCACGTTGTTTAAATGTTTGTCCAGCCCAACCAACCTGATAATTTTTATAAACTAATTTACTGGCCCAGTTTGAATAAATTTTTCGGCTAGGACCGTTTAATTTTTGTTTCTTCGGCCATCACATTTTTACATCTATCTAATTTTTCCCGATGTTAATTAAAACTCCTATATCTTTACTCCTTGAAAATCTATTTTAAATTATATCATACATATTTTTTTAATTTTTTGTAAATTTACTATTTTATTTATAGATTTAGTATTTTAGCTAGATAGCTTGAAATACTCATATTGTAATTTATTTTAAAATAGATATCAAGATTTGGATGTTATGGTTGTCCCATTAAAATTTTACAAAAATAAAGATTTACGAGGTCTGGTCCTATTTTTGTTTATGAATGGTCTACCTAGCACGTTTTTTTATGTACGAATTTCCCTACACAGCATTTTAAATTTAAAAGAATTTGCTCCCTAGCTAGACTTTCGAACGGGGGTTTGGATGTGGTTTATTACATATCCATCTTTAATCCTTTTTTATAATTATAATCTACAACTCTTATATTTTGTTAACCTTTATGTGTTTTCAAATTAACATTCTAAAAATTGAAGATTCCTATAATAAAATATATGATCACAACGTCAAAACGGAGAAAACAAAACAGTTGCCTTCCACTTCCACAAATTCATATAATAATAACTTGCTTATTTCCAAAGAAATTGACACCTTAAAGGATAATGTTAAAATTAATACCGATGCCAATTTTGTGCACTCAGAAATGGTTTACTTTAACGATCCAAAAAAAAATATTATAGCAGGATTATGCAAAGATGAAATTACAGTTTTGTACGATATATCGAATCAACAGATTATACACAAAAATGTTGTAACTTGGACAGAAGCTCCGATTTATTTGAGTAATTTTAAATTTAATTGCAAGTTTCAATTATTTTAACCGTTGTCTTATTTTAAATAATTCTCTTAATGTTTTAGAGAAGGGGGTATATTTTTTGCACGTTTATTATTCAAAAAAATTAAATGAATTGGATAAAAATTTTAAAACCCTTTTTCCTTTTAAAATGACTATCTAAGAAAAGAAGGCTTGAGGCGCACTATGTATATTCATAATTTTCCAGCACTCATCTTTTTAGGTAATAAGCTCTTTAAATATCCTTTTTCAGTTATAGTTAAAATCCTTCTTTACATTTGATGATGCTGACTCTTTATGGGTCCATTTAAGTTTGGGTCTGCTTCTCTATCCTTTATTAATCATTTATATACTTTTACCCTTGTTTAAAATATAGTTCTCAAGAATCCTCATTGTATGCCCGTGCTTATTTACAATGTTTATTTGTTTTTATAGGGATTGCTTATTAAACTTTCTATTATATTCCTTATTTTGGTTACCCCGCCTATCATCCTTAGCATTTTTGTCTGTAAGTTTTCCTCGTTTGATTCTTAGTTGGCCATGCTTCTTTTTCCCCTTTAATTGTGGAATTATTTTGCTTGATAGCTACAGGATAAATTTCAACCATGATTCATCTTTTTATATCCCAATTATGTCATTGCTTTGTAGAGTGGAACTTTAATATTTTCAATTCATTTATATTGATATTAGTTTCCTCCGCCTATTACCATATATTCTGTTTGTTGACTTTCAGCCCGAGATTTTCTAGGATATTAATTTAACTATTATTTGTTTCTACAAGTATTACTATATTTTATTCTATGGAGCTGACTTCGAGTTCATCTATGATATTAAATAGGGAGGTGAGAGAATATCCTTGATGAACTCACTCTCTAGTGTTGTTAAACGGCTCGATTTTTAAAGATAGCTTGGAGATTTTGCTCACTGATGGCAGAAAGGTTTGGACATCTATTAACGAAATCTCGAGGCTTGCATAATATTTTTTAGCTAAAATATTCGGTTGGCCGTTTTTTAAAAATCTTGCTGTTTAACAAGACTATCCCTCGGCTATTGGGTAGGTAACCTGAAGGTGAGCCATTTAACTTGCATTTATATATTTTTTGGGTCCTTTTTATTGCATAAGATTAACTAGATAAACTCCTTAAATTCGATTAAAAATTTTGTCTATATCTACAAATTCATATGAGTCTTTTTGTGCATTTTTCAACTCTTTGTCTAATTGCACGGATTGCATCAATAATTTATTAATCCTTATTTTAGTATACTTATTTTTGTATTGAAATTTTAAGAATTTCTAAACCCTTATATGATAGCCTTATTACCGCAAAATATTGAAATTCGTACTATACAACCAAAGTTATTGATTCAAACTATTCCAATAAATAAGGCTAAAGGAGTCGAGATATCATCAAAGTAAATATTTAATATATTAATTTTATATCAATAAAATAAAAACTTTCCAATTTATTTTATGTATAATATCGAAATTTTAATAACATATTGACCCTATCATTTATTATTTTTTAAATCGGTTATTAGCCGATCGATATAAATCTAAAAATAAAAAAGAACTCGGTATTATTTTTTTGATATTTATTTTAATTACTTATTCATTCAAATATTAATTTTAACATTATATATAATTTATTAATGTATATTTAACTTGATTCTTATATAGATGCTAGATATTTATGATGGATATAATTAACAATAAATAAAAATAACATTTATCACTTAAGCCCACAAAATTGTACTACTAGACTAATTAATATTTGATACCGCGAAACTTTTAACCAAAACAGTTTTTCGCGAATGTTTATTATAAAGAATGGATTTTATAATGTAACTTTTATCAGGAATCCACATTGGCGAATGCTATTTCACGAAACGTATATCGCGAAATATATATCGCGATTGTTGCTAATAGGGATGTAAATATTTTATTTTGAAACATTTATTTTTAAGACCATATAAATTAACTAATATTTTAAATAATAGTTTGAAAAATCGATTCAATGATAAAGTTTTTTTCTTCTTTTAACATTAATAAATTTATATACTGATTATTGAGCTTAGAATAGGTTTATAAAATTTATTATTAGTTTATGCTACCCTGTCCTATGCTTTCCTCATGACTTACCTAGGACTTAGGTGATGATTTAGCACTCAATTTTTATTAGATTTCATTTGGGTTTATTACCAATATCGAGCTCTTATGCAAAAATTTACAGGTCTGCTCTCCTAAGATATAAATTTCCACAGCAAAAAATGTATAAATATATAAGAATAAAATAAAAAACACGTAACCCTTTATTCCCGGTGTCCAGATAGAAAGTCCGAAAGGCTTGGCCTACCATAGCACTCAATTTTTATTAGCTTTCATTTGGTTTTATTACCAATATCGAGCTCTTATGCAAAAATTTACAGGTCTGCTCTCCTAAGATATAAATTTCCACAGCAAAAAATGTATAAATATATAAGAATAAAATAAAAAACACGTAACCCTTTATTCCCGGTGTCCAGATAGAAAGTCCGAAAGGCTTAGCCTACCAAGGATCTTCGCACATACCGCCCCGGTCTGCCTAAATTTTTTTTTAACATTTACCAAAAATCAGGCCCGGCCAGTTAAAATTATACTAAAAGTCCGCGATGGAAATATCTTATTCAAATTGTTTCAGATGTACTTATAAACAAAAAAAGAAATGGCTTATCAAATTATTTCATATTATTTATAGCAGACTATATAAATGAATATTTAAGTAAAGATATATAATTGAGATTTTGTGAATATTATACCATATTTCTAAATTTTGGAATTTTATTTCGTTTAACCTTTTTCTTTTATGTTACTTTTTCCTTTTATATTAATTGATTAATTTATAATTAATAGAGTTTAATAAAGGAATTAGAAATTATATTATGATTTCAAAACGATAATTTTATTTCTTTTGTATTTAAAAAGGCACTAATATCAACTTAACACACGCGACAACCCGAATTTATTTGTACGAATTTTCTTACACATTTTTTATATCTGTATCTAATTTTCCCAATATTAATTAAGGCTCTATATCTCTCTGGCTATCTATTTCCACAACAACTGTTTTATATTATGAATGATTATGTTTGATATCTTTATTGGAAAATAACTTATTTAATATTTTGCCAATACTATATTGTTTATTAATTTATGTTTAAGCTAGACAGCTAAAATAAAAAATGAACGTTTTCGTATATCCTTAATGTTAATTTTTATTTTTCTTATCAACTTTCCTATCTTCTTAATGTTAATTTTTATTTTTCATATCAACTTTCATAGCAACTTTCCTATCAACTTTCCTATCTTCTTAATGTTAAATAAATCGATGGAGACTATATTTCTAATGTTAAATTTTAAGAAAATTTTTTGTACATAATGGAATTCGAACCCCTGACTTAACGTTTTAAAGGCAAACGTTCTTCCCACTCAGCCACCTTCTATATTAAATTTTGTAATATAATCTTTCTTATATATGTTATTATTTTGCTATTATTTTTTATTTTTATTGGCTTTTTAATCCTTATTTTTATTGGTTTATTAAGGTCTTATTTCATTGGTTTTAATTTATTTTCTTTCTATTTTATTGTTTTAAATTTATTTTCTTTGTTTTATTAATTAATAATCAACCATTTTTAATTAACGATCTTTTTTTAATTAACGATTTTTAAGATGATCACAACCTTTTTTAAATTTTTCTCGGGGTTCCGATAGAGCAACAATTTTCTAGAGAAATAAGAGATTAAAAAAAAAAGAGAATCCTTTTTATTAATATTATTTGCACGAAAAATCAACTCTGAAAATTTAATAAAAAAAGTTACTTAATTAATCGTCTAGGATTTTTAAAAATAATCAGAGAAAATCATTAAAATTCTAAGTATTTTTAACCCTTCACTACAAAGGTGGGGTAAATAGGACCCCACAACTTTTATAATCTTTGTAATACAAAAGCTAGAAGATATTCCGACCTGATTTTTTCAGTAGTTTAATATTTTGTAACAAGGAATACAACTTCCAAATTTCATGATTATTGATTTGATAGTTTTTGAGATATATGCTATTTGTTGAGCTTGGGGTAAAATATACCCCACCTATGTAATGATGTAATTTTTTTTTTAAATCCAATTTTTTTTTGTTACTAATTATATTTATGTATGTCAGGTTAATAAATATAATTGAAAAAAATATAATTATATCTATTTTTTGATTGATATATATGACTTTAAATTTGAAAATTTTATATTATTTATTTTTTCGGTGGAGTAAAAAATCATAAATTTAACATATGATTTTTAATTTGAATTATTCTAGTGACATTTTATACTTTGAAAATAGAATTATATGCTGGCAATCAGCCTGAAGGACCTTATAAATTGAGAAATAAGCCTTTTGATGTGGTTGAAAGGTTAATTCAGCCCATTTCTAAGAGTAATAGGAATGTCACCACAGATAACTGGTTTACCAGTTATGAACTTGCTATACATTTATTAAATTCCCATTCATTAACAATAGTAGGAACTTTAAGAAAAAATAAATAGCAGTTTCCAACATCATTTAATTTTAAAAAGAAAGATATTTGTTCAAGTTTATTTGCCTGCTAAGATAATATGACATTAGTATCATATGTACCAAAAAAGTATAAGCATGATGCTTTCTACCCTTCACTATGATAACAATATTGATACATCAACTGGGGATTTGAAAAAACCAGAAATTATCACATTTTACAATCTCACCAAAGCTGGTGTTGATGTTGTGGATCAGCTATGTTCAAATTATTCAATATCCAGAATAACAAATAGATGGCCTATGACAATTTTTTATAATTTGTTGAATATATCTTGCATAAATTCTTTAATAATTTATAAATCCAATAATTTAAAGGAGATTAATAGATCAAAGTTTATAAAATTATTAGCAATGGAGCTAATAACTATTAATGAGTAATAGATATGAAAACCAACATGTTAATAAACTACTAAAAGATAATATTGGGAACATGCTAAATATAGAGGAATTAAAACCTATCCAAACAAAAAGGAAGGTGCTCCTCTTGTCCAAGGGTTAGGGACAAGAAATCTTCATTTATTTGTTCAAATTGTTCAAAATTTATATGCAAAGATCATATGTATGTAACATGTCGTGAATGTTTTTTTTAAAAAAATGCATGAACTTTAATATCAAATATTTTTTTTAATATCTGATGTTTTATTATAAAATTTATTTAATTATTACTATAAAATATTGAATTAATAAAATATATAATCAAATTTGTTTCCATTCATTTATTTTTGGTCAGATCATATGATTAAGGAAAGTTCCAAAAAAAAGATTTTTTTTTGAGCAGCTTTAGTAAATATATCATAACTTTATTTAGAAATAAATGTAAATCTAGAAATTTTGTATTTATTATCTCTAATATTTTTACAATAAGTATATAAAATTTTAGTTCTTAAATTTTATTATTTTCTGAGATATAGCTATTTAAAATTTGGGGTAAAATAGACCCCACCTATGTAACCGCGGGAGTTTTTTTCACCTATGTAGTGAAGGGTTAATCTTTATGAATTCTAAGCATTTCAGAATATTTGTAAAAATTTACTTTTAATTGCATGAAGCGCATTTTTAAAATTTATATTGGGAGTGGGGGGGGGGTGTTGTGGAGTAAAAAACCTGAACCTAATAGCCCCCTCCTTACTTACAACCATTGTGTGAGAGAGACCAGAAAGAAATTGCTAATATATCTTTTATCAAATCAGATACACATGCTACTTAATAGACAATAAGTTAGCTTATGATTTAAGGAACTTATCTGGGTTAATTATAATATGTAGTTTTCCTTTTAATAAATGCATTCGCAATATATTTATAGCTTCGCATTTGCTCGCGATAATGACACCTCGCAAATACTTTCGCATAAAAAAATTGCCATAAAGGGTTCGCGATAAAAGTTTTGCTATGATGGATTCGCGATTAAGGTTTGGTAGAAATAATTTTCTATATTTTTTTCGCTATAAATGGTTGCGAAAAAAAATTCACATAATTGGTTTCTCGATATTACCTTCACTCTAAAATTCCTTTGCGTATACGATATTCGCGATAAAAGTTTTGCGGATATGTGTTTTGCGATAAAAATTTGGTTAAATTAACCTGCTAAAATTTTAGATGTATTGAAAATTTTATTTAAAAAAAATATATTAAATATTTAATGGAAAATTATATTGTTGGGTGATTGGCCCATATCAACCTTGATATCGACAAGATCAAATCGGTCTCAGAAAATGATATCGGTATCGGTACACCTCTAATGATAACATAAGATTCTACTCATGTTAGGATCAGTGACTTTGCTAGTTTTTTTTCAACTTGAGCGCAG